GCATGCGTGGCGCTCCTGGGCAGGGAAAGTCCTTGACTTACGACCGGTTGGGAGTCCTCGACTTACAACCAGTTGGGGGTCACGGCATTAAAAAGGTTGAGAACCACTGACTTAGAGTCAAATAATATCTTTTAATTTTGATGATCCTATCCTTAAATCTAAGGAGGAGTTCGAATCAGAAAGATGAGTCTGCCATTGGTTTACATATTTACAATTGAAAGATTTAAAGCAAACAAAAAGAGTTATGGGTTTGATTTTGTGAAAAAGGAATTGGAAATCCTACTGTGTGGTGGTCATGAACACATTATTGCTAAAGTTTACATATTGTTATTGAATTTGGAGTATGAACGTGTAAAGCACATGATTCAGTGGGCAAGGAATTTTGAATATAATGTCATGCTTGAACAATGGGAGAATATGTGGACGAAAGGTTTAAAATTCACATTAAATCATAACTTAAAAGAAAGGTTTTATAAGATGATGAATTGTTGATATTTAACACCAGATAAGTTATCAAGAATGTATAAAGGTATTTGAAATGAATGTTGGAAATGTAAAAGTAAAGAAGGGACCTTTCATCACTTATGGTGGACATGCTACAAAGCAAAGAAATATTGGAGTAGGATTCATATCTAAATACAGAAGCTTCTCAAAGTGAATATAAAGATAAAACCAGAAACTTTTCTTTTGGGTTTATTAGAAAAAAATTAGAACTTTGATGCTATATATTTGATGACAGCAAGAATACTTTACGCACAAAAATGGAAGGACACTTTGATTACCACAATGGATGAAGGGCTGCAGAAGTTGATGGAATCAGCTAAACTGATTGCTTTGATTAAAGACAAAAATACAACTACTCGTGATTTTACTTGGAAGCCGCTTCTGGACTTTGTGCTTGAGGTGGGGGGAAAAAATGAAACTTTGATTTTGGGTTTTACTGATTAGTTAGGTTTGTTGTTATAGAAACGGCTAGTTGATACCATTTTGTAAAAGTAAAACACTGAGGTTTGATGTTGTTATTCTACTGCACCAAAGGGAGTAAAAAATAAAAATCTTTTCCCCCTTTTTCCTACACTCTTCCCTTCCATTTTCCCTCTCCTATCTTTCCTACTATTTTCTTTTTGTATCTTATACCAGACTTCCCCAACCTTTTGGGGTTGGCGGCCCAGAGCGGGGGGGGGGGAAGAGAGATGGTTTTGTGGGGGGTGAATACATATGCGTGCGCACAAACACCCATTGCTCATGCAAGTGTTAGGGACTCCATCTTAGAATATTAATACATAAACTAAATTTATCAAGAATTTGCACAGTCTCCTAGGGACTAGCTCAGAGGTAGGCAACCTTGGCTCTTTTATGACTCGTGGACTTCAACTTCCAGGATTTCTGAGCCAGCATAGCTGGTTCTGGAATTCTGGGAGTTGAAGTCCACGAGCCATAAAAGAGCCAAGGTTGCCTACCCCTGGACTAGCTAAAAGGAATTAGTAGAGGTGTTTCTCATTAGCTATTTAATGAAACTAGAATAATATTTTGGGACCAACAGACATATTGGGAAAAATCGCAATAGATGCCCTGAAAAGGAGGCATTTCTAGCCACCAAATGGATGTGATGGACAGTCACAAATATACCATTTAATGTAAGCCAAGTGAAGTTTTTTTTTATTGCAGCATGCTTTTTATCTGTTTATTTTCCTGATCATGTAATTACACCTCCAAAATATTGCATCACCACTGCCTGGAATCTGGTTCTTTGACTTGGTGGCATTTCTTTGTGTTGCTTTAAGATTAAAATTATTTTTTAAAAGAGTTCATAGACCAGGGAATATTGACATGTTCAAAGTGATAAGGGAAATCAACCCAAGATATTTAATTGCTGCCACTCTACTAGAATCTTGATAGAACCTCCAGAAGGACTGGGAGAAAATTCAAAAAGTTATTTTGCAGATGCGTTCATGGGACTACTAAAATTGTTATAGGATGCTTGTTTTAAGCAGCTTTGCCATTTCTACCAAGTACCAGTATAATATTGCAAGCAAAGCATTCCATTTCATTAAATGAAAATTCAGTCTGAAAATCTTTGCAATGGATCTGTGGTGAACTTCAAATATACTGTCGGCATCTGTAAACCACAGCAGGAAGATCATTCATTCCCTTTGTGTGTGTCTGTTTCCCCATATCTGCACGGGAGATACCATGTGTTATTTTTACCTATCACTGTTCTACGTTATCCCTTTATTACTCATTTTTGAATTTCATTCAGTGCTACCTAGTAAATTCATAGTACAAGCATGAATGAAATGACCACTGTATATAATGGGGTTTTTTTTTACTGTTGTATTCAACCAAGTTCTTAATCAAATTAATTAAGTTACTAAGAAGTATTTCCAGGAAATCTTTAAGGCCTTGTGAGATAAAGTAACAGTATGTCCATAATTCAAGGAAATAAAAAAGAAATCTCATATTCAATTACACATGAATACAATAACCTGTTATATCCAAATATTTCAAACATTTATCATGACAATATACCCATGCTCAATGAGCTTGCTGTTTTAACAACAGTCTTATTCAGCAATGGTTGTGCAGCCAATAAAAATCCAGTGGTGGTGCAGTGGTTAGAATGAAGTATTGCAGGCTAACTCTACCCACAGCCTGGAATTCAATCCTGACCGGCTCAAGGTTGACTCAACCTTCCATCCTTCCGAGGTCACTAAAATGAAGACCCAGATTGTTGGGGGCCATAGGCTGACTCTGTAAACCACTTAGGGAGGGCTGTAAAGCACTGTGAAGCGGTATATAAGTCTAAGTGCTATTGCTATCCTGAATATGTTAATTATCAGATTTTAAAATTTTTAATAGAATTGTACTTATAAGTTCTTCAAGCAAGAGTTGGGGAGATAAGTGTGTAGGGTCTACACTTGCATTTTGTCATATAAAGTTGAATAGACTACATCACTCTCATTATACGCTTAAATGCTGCTACTTAAGTTACTCTGCATGTTACTTTCTCGGAAACTTTTGTGACATAAAAAGCTTCCAACAATCAGGCTTTTTATCAGAATGAAGACTTGCGTGATCATAGAAACTTTAAATATAGAGTGGGCACTGTCTCCTGACCATCAGATTAATCAGTAAAAATTAAAACCATTCTTTACTATTTTTATTATGCCCTATCTAAGGGAAAACAGAGTTAATAATATAATATAGAATAGGGTCGATTTGGAAAAGCGAACATACTTTCATCCTCAAGAATATTCATGAATGGTATTGAAAAAGGCCCATAATTATACCTAACATCAAAACTATTTCTTGAAATACAAACCTTTCCCATACTTCACATATTTGATACAATTTTAAATGTAAATGAGATGTTACTTTACTAAAAAAATCTACTTTTCCTCTCTGTTATCATAGAAAGGGAGTGAAAACAGTACTATCTCTAGAGCAGTGATCCTCAACCTTTCTAATGCCGTGACCCCATAATACAGTTCCCCATGTTGTGGTGACCCCCAAGTGGGTGTGGCCACCAATAAGAGGGAGTAGGACAGCTAGGGAAAAGGGAAAAAAATGGCGGACAGCGTGGTTTGGCGACCCCCGTGAAATGGTCATTCGACCTCAAATGGGGTCCCGACCCACAGGTTGAGAACCACTGCTCTAGAGCATGGGTGTCCAATTTTTTGGCTTGCCTAGGCCGCATTGAGTGAAGAACAATTGTCTTGGGTCACTTATAAAATATGTATGTATATACATCACATAATAATGCTGTTTACAATCTTATGTGGCCGAATTACTTGCTGTCCAGGGCTGCATGCGATCCACGGGCTGTGGGTTGGATAGGCCAGATCTAAACTCTGTTACAGCAGTGTTTCCCAAACTTGACAATTTTAAGGCATGTGGACTTCAACTCCCAGAATTTCCCTTCTGAAACTGCTCAGGCAAGCATGTTTCACACAGACTCATTAGGTTTATGATGTGCGTGTCATTCTTTCTTATCTCCGTGGCCTTGAGTAAAATCCTCTCCTAATCAGACTGTATGTGAAACTGTAGCCAGAGGTGTGTGTGTCTTCCTTTGTTTGGAGGCTTGCCAGAAACATGGGAGCATTTGGGGAACATTGGGAGCAATTAAAGAGCGGTTTGAATTGCCAGCTAACTGCATTGCCTCTGTGTTGTGCCCTGGCTGTCATCACAGGCTGTCAGTTGCCCAGGTTAGCATGTAAAATAGGGAAAAATAATACGTACTCATAATTGTTCAACAGTATCTAGAAGCCCTGGGTTTCCTTGAAGCCACACATTTGGAAGGTAAGTCATAATTTGGACCTCATTCTTAGAACAAGCAGTACTCAACTATAATAGAGCTTCCTGTGTTATATCTAAAAATATGAAATTTGTAATCATAGGATCATCATTTGCAGCACTGTCTTCAGTCATTAGGACACCTTGTCCCCTCAATAACTTTTTTCATATAGACTGTTGTACACTGGGAATCACACAAATTGAGCTACATAGTTTGCAATTATTTATTCAGTCAAACTATTATCAGTCTAGTTTATAGAACTATCAAGCTTTTTAAAGTTCAATTATATCAAACAATAAAAAGAGAAGGGAGAATTTCTTTAAATATAGACTTTAATTCCTGATTTCCCATAGCTTAAATGTAATTCCCTCAGTGGCACCTATCTATTTTGTTCTAGGTGATGTACAGTCTACTTCTACAAGGTAGATGTGATTGTAAAGAGTTGCTCCTAATATTGGACAAAGCCATTTCCAATGTAAAGATATTTTCAGTTTTAATTATTTCTAGTAGCAAAAAAACAAACAAAAACAAATTGAAATGCTGCTCTTAAGACTGACTTTCTGCCAAAGGGCATTTCATTTGTGATTGCTGAAATACAATTATAATTCACTGTTTCCAAATTGGCAAAACAGAATCTGAGAGAAGATTGTTATATGCAATATAAAAGATACTTCATTTTAAAGAACGAATCAGAACAGTGTGCAAGTCATAGTAGTCACTTAATTTTTTTATTTATTGTTCTGTGGGAATAGGGAAAGAGAAGCATACATTTATACAATATTTCACAATCACTTTTATCCAGGATGGGGTTATTCTTAAATACTTGCCGAAAAATAGCAAGAGCAATTTGACAGTAGTACAACAACCTGTGCCTAGAACACTGACAAGTACCAAGTAAAGCTAAAATAATTGCTTACCAATATTTTGAGAGGTAACATCTTATATGGGCTTGAGTGGTGTGCATTAAAAAAAAAAAGTACTGCTGGTTGAATATATTGAGGTAAATGGTGTTCCAACAAGGATACTATTTTTATCCCTTGTTTGTAATCTGTACATAGCTTGCTGAATTTTATACCAAATATTCCTAATAAAAATGCATTAAAAAGTTTAAAAAGAGAATTGGAAAAAGGTCAACCAATCAGTCACCTCACTTTGTTAAACTACGATCAGCAATTTTATTCTGTAGAACAGTAGTATGAACACTATTTATTACTACATCTGATTACACCTTAGTTATGCAAGAGCTACTCCACATGGATTTTTGCTATCAAAGAAAGTATAAAGTTGTGTATTTTAATCCAGACTCATTTTCAGAATACCACCATGAATGAGAACACTAGGTCAAAGAACTCCAACAATTACGAGGCACAATCTGTTCCAAAATGCTAAGGTATATTTAGCAACTGTACAAAGAGTAGTCATGCATCATGTGATATAAAGTTCTTCGCATCTAACACAAACTGAAAAGGTATTGCAAAGTTTAGACTTTGAAGTTGTTCACAAAACTGATCAGTTAAATCCTGTGGCAATTATATAGGCAGCCAACTAAGTAGTCACAGGCAAACCAAAGGACGATGAAAGCTCCAGTCTCAACTCGGGCTTTCCTTCACAAGTCAAAGATACAAGGTAAATCACCAGAGCTGGCCAGATCAATACAAGCTGAATGGTTCAAGTACAAAAAGCAACAACAGCCACAATATCGGCCAGAAAGCAGAGCACTTTTCCTAGCTCAGACATGAATGGGTTAATTTCCTAGGCTAGATCTTGGCTTAAGCATTTTGAAAGAATTGTCCACCCTTACAAAGAAGTCAAAATTTCATGCAGGGCTATTTTATGGTGGATTTTTTTTTTTTTTTGGTGGGTTTTAATAATTTGACAGAGTCTACCAAAAAACGTATTTTCGTGATAAGAGGCATCTTGAAAAACAAAGACTAGTTAGGGGGAAGCAAAGAAGGGAAGTTTTGGAAAATACTTTTTAAAAAACTCTTCTCACGTAGACATTGTTCTGCTTGATTGTCAGTTTTGATATTTCTCCTATGTGACCTGCAATTCCAAATGCATTTGCAAAAAACATACGTGAAAAGGCCTTACTTGGCTTGAGTCATATTGGTGGAAGTCTATTTGATTAAAAAAACAAACCAACTCTGCTCCATGAAGCTGTGGTGGGAGATTTGCAACCAGAAATGATGTTTGTAGGCATGTGCTTTTTAAGAGGAAGACTGATAAAATTACATTTTCTTAATATGAATATTTTCATTTTGAGGGGAAAACGTACGTGCCAATCATTCATACTATTTTAGACGATGCTGTTGCAAATCAACTCCTAAAAGTAGAACCAAGCAAATCATCTTTTTATTCAAAAATACATCTGAAGAACGAATGTTACGTTTGTTAACAAAAGTAGCAAGTTATGCCCAGCAACATCCATAATCAAATTATGGCATCGGATTTGGTAACTGTGAGACAGAGGAGAAATCCTCTAATACTCGTCTCTGTTTAGAACAGGATGTCCAAAATCTTGTTTATAACTATTTCCTCTACATTTTTGGAGACTAGTACAAAATTAAAAAAAAAAAAAACCTCACTGTGATTTCATAGATCTTTACAAGAGAACATTCACGGTGAACATTTAACTATGATCACCTTTTCCTTTATGAATCTAATGTATTATTTAAATATAAAACTGCCTAGAATCTGATAATACTGGCTACTGTTGGTTCAGTACTTTCATTCTGAGACTTACTTCCCTTTGGCTTGTATACATATAACTAGTCAAATAATTACTGTCTTTTACAAATACTTTGGCACCTGTCTACTTTCTGCCCCTTTTGCTAGACTCGCAGTGTTTCTCAACCTTGACCATTTTAAGGCATGTGGACTTCAACTCCCAGAATTCCACAGCCAGCATTGCTGGCTGTGGAATTCTGGGAGTTGAAGTCCACATGCCTTAAAATGGTCAAGGTTGAGAAACACTGTGCTAGAGCAGTGGTTCTCAACCTGTGGGTCGGGACCCCATTTGGGGTCGAATGACCATTTCACGGGGGTCACCAAACCATGCTGTCCGCCATTTTTTTCCCTTTTCCCTAGCTGTCCTACTCCCTCTTATTGGTGGCCACACCCACTTGGGGGTCACCACAACATGGGGAACTGTATTATGGGGTCATGGCATTAGAAAGGTTGAGGATCACTGTGCTAGAGTCTTCTTAGTGGATAGGCTCAACATCAATCCCTATAACTCCTTTAATTCAGTACAGTAGTTTAAAGTTGTAGGGTTTGGGTTTTTTTTTTTTTTTTGCTAGACTATGCTACATTATCATTTCCATTGAAATAATTGCATATTTGATGGTAAAGGTTTTTTTTTTTTAAAAAAAGAGTCTGCATTTTTAAATTTTTTAGTGACCACAAGTTAAACCTATGTATCACTGATCAATGTTCCTCTGACAAGCCGGCACCCCCCCCCCAAAAAAAAATATCAAGTGATGTGAAACTACAAAAGGCAACACATATAAAGTGTGCGGAGTTCAAGGTCATGAAGCTTCCTGAGGTGATCCTGAAACAACGACACAGTGGAAATAGAGTTATGTCCAGGGCTAGACCCGTGCACTGGGTGGTTGGAAATATTCCTCCTCCCACCTTCCTCCCACAGCAGCCCTCAATAGCTAGAGGTGCTTCAGTACCCCTTTTGATGGGGCAGGGGCCTGGTTGCTGGGAAGGGGAATGGAAGGAAGGGTAGCTTCCACCATCTTGTTGCATGTGTCTCTGTCTGGATCGACCCACTGTGTCCCGTTTAGTGAAATAGAAAATAACACTAGACAAAATATACATGGAACAGCAAAAGCTTCTTTGAAAGAATTGAGGTTAAGAGCTTTCCAGTGCCAGAGCTCAATAAAATAATAATAATAAAAAATTCATGCTTAAATTTTCAAATTCCCATCAGACACAGCAAACCTAAATATTTAGTAAAATAAACGTATACACTAATTTGGGAACTGGAGATAAAGCTTTTAACTAATTGGGGAAGTCGTCATTGAAAAGGCAATACATTTTTTTATACATAAGCTAGAACAAGGAAAGACTAATACACCATTTAGGAATGGCCATGGACTGTTGGCATAAAGCACAGCTTATAACCTTTAAAAATACACCATGAATCTTTTAATGCATCATTTACAAAATCTGGATCAATTTATTATTTCAGTTTTATTAGTGTTGTCAATTCAATTTAGCATAGGTGGAACTGAGGTATACCTTGTTGAGGGAGGTTAAGTAATGCTTGGAAGCCTTTTTGCTAGATCCCACTTTGATTACATAGAACAGCAGCACACTAAACATTCACAAGCTGTGTCATATTGGCATTACAATAGTCATTTATATAAACACAACAGCAAATGCAATAAAAACAAGTTACCCTTTTTCTTAAATCTGAAATGAAATGTCTGATTTAAAAAAAATAGCAGTAGTTCATTTTAAGGAATTAGTCTGACATGTTAAGAAATACAATGTCAGTTTTTAAAATGTCTGACAAGCCGAGATAGGTCCATGTTCTTCAAATACGTTTAACATTATCTTGCCATTTTCTCCGGCATATGCTGTAAGTCTTCTGGATCCAAGTCTGGAGAAGAACAAAGAGGAATCTTCCTATTGATGCTTCAGAGACAGACTTACCATTATTCCATGCTGAAAATTACTGGCCAGAAACAGGCCAGTTGACTTGGCAGTCTCAGTGCTGAGTCTTATTGGTCAAGAAGTGTGACCCTGCTACTATCATAGACTGGATTCTTTGGGAGGAAAATCCACATTTGTCACCATGGTGACCACAGTCACAATGTCTTCTGTTGTTATAATGTTTGTTAGTCTTTGCATTTGGATAATCCTTTCCTCTACACAACCTGCTGATAATCGAGCTTCTGCATCATGATCCCAACACTCTTCTATTGTTTCACAGAGCATTGCCATTCCCTAAAAATAATGAGAAGAAAGGATTCGGTTTTGGGATTCTTATACAACAGACAGAACATAAAACACTGTCCTGAAATACATAAACAGCATCTAAGTTATATCCGCATTCAAACAATGGCAATAAAAACATCTGGTGATATTAACACCTTCCATGCGACATTGACATTGAGGAACTGCAGCGAGTGCCTAATTCTGAAATCCAGAATCAATTCAGCATGAGAAAAGACCACCGTATAATACTTACTGTTTATCTGCTTTAACTATCAGCCCAAATATATAACTTAGGTTCGTGATTGATTACCTTTCTAATACTGGTTCCTGTATATCTGAAAAGCTACTATGATATCGTTTCAGTTTCTTCTCCTTTTCAAAAATTGAACTGATGCAATTTCAAATGAGGGTTTCAAATGAGGGTTTTGTAACGAGGGTTGATCCTGCTCTTCCTTCTGCCAGGAGACTTTCATCTAGCTACATTTTATAATTCTTTCCAGTCCTCCACTGGTGGAGGATTTAATGGGGTCAGATGGGGGAGGTGAGGAGAGGGAGACAGATTGGCTGTGCAGATACAGGTTAAATGTGAGACAGATTAAAACAGCTTTATTGGCTAGCAACTGTAATGTGTTAGAAAGCCATTGTGCTGTTGAGAGCCTCCGAGATTGCCTGAAACCTTTTGATAAATGTGATTTTAGCAATCTCTCTCAATTGTGCTTAGACTTTTTCTAAAAAGGTCACCGATGCCTGCCATGGGATGTCCTGGGAGGCTGAAATGGTCTGATATTAATTTCTCCTTGTTCTGAGTACATATGGGGAAAAAAAATACTTTTACAGACAATTACCATGCCCATCAAGTAATGGCCTGTAACAATTACATCAGCTATCCTATTTTTATAGGTGGAAGGCAAATAAGAAAGTATTTAGTCCTGTTAAATCTCAGAAAGCATGGAAAAAGCAGCTAACTCCATCTGCATTAAATGTTTTTTTATCTTTTTTTAATGATCTAATGTTTACCACCTCAAACAGAAGCAGTACAAAACTAAGATGAACAGGAATAGATCACCTCAAGGATTTATAGGAGTCTGTATTGAGTGATTGAATTTCCACCCAATATAAAAAGACTAGAAAAATGATTTGGTTGCAAAAATATCCTAATTTTAGAACCAGAGTTCACTATATATGAAATATTCTGTTTTCAGCAGTCTTGTGATATTAAGGGCATATCAATTCTATTACATTATGGAGATAACTATCTGAAGTGAAACTGGAGAAATGAAAGTTAAATTAGGATATCTTTCCTATGTGTAAACTAGAGAATAATATGAATAAAAAAAATCTGTTCAGAACAATTTTAATTTTTATTAATGGAATCTGTGTTCAAACTTAACACTGGAGTACACAGAAATGTGTCAAGCTATAACATATTAACTTATATTTTTACACAGAATATTAAACGGGATTAATAGCAATAGCACTTAGACTTATATACTGCTTCACAGGGCTTTAGAAACTCTCTAAGTGGCTTACAGAGTCAACCTATTGCTCCCAACAATCTGGGTCCTCATTTTACCGACCTCGGAAGGATGGAAAGCTGAGTCAACCTTGAGTCCTGGTCAGGATCAAACTGCTGTAGTGCTGGCAGTCAGCAGAAGTAGCCTGCAGTACTGCATTTAAACCACCATGGCACCACAGCTCTTAATATTAAACAACCTCTCTTTAGTGACTGCAAATAAGTATTAACCTTTTGCTAAATAGAATAACTTAACTATTAGAAGTAGTACATGAATTATATGGCCATTCATTAATCTTCCTGTGAATAATAATTATGAACACAGGTAACTAATTATATTAGTGACAGATTTTATCTTCCTGGGCTCCAAGATCACCACAGATGGGGATTGCAGCCAAGAAATTAAAAGACGCTTGCTCCTGGGGAGGAAAGCTGTGGCAAATCTAGACAGCATATTAAAAAGCAGAGACATCACCCTGCCAACAAAAGTACGTATAGTCAAGGCCATGGTTTTCCCAGTTGCAATGTATGGCTGTGAAAGACCGTAAGAAAGGTTGAGCCTTTGAGGCCTTTGAACTATGGTGCTGGAGAGTCCCCTGGACTGCAAGGCGATCAAACCGGTCAGTCCTAGAGGAGATCAACCCTGACTGCTCTTTAGAAGGCCAGATCCTGAAGTTGAAACTCAAGTACTTTGGCCATCTAATGAGAAGGAAGGACTCACTGGAGAAGAGCCTAATGCTGGGAAAGATTGAGGGCAATAGAAGAAGGGGACAGAGAATGAGGTGGCTGATGGAGTCACTGAAACAGTAGGCATGAGCTTAAATGGACTCCAGAAGATGGTAGAGGACAGGAAGACCTGGAGGAACGTTGCCCATGGGGTCGCGATGGGTTGGACACGACTTCGCAACTAACAACAACAACAACTAATTATATATTTATATATTTAGTAACAAATGACAAATGTGGAAAAAACAAACTCTAGAAAGTGCCTGAAGACTATAAACTTATCACTTTTGAAAAGTTTATTTTCATTTAGCTAGATTTATCACCAATGATATCACTATCATCAATTTCAAATAAAATAACTGAAAAATTATCAATGCTACATTTCCACTGATTTCATAAGCAGTAAAATTCCTCACATTCCACTACTGAATGCAGTCACCACTAAAAGCTTTTCAAGAAATATATTAAATGATTTATGTACATTTGTAATTCTTTAAATCAAACAATGGAGTAATAAACAACTAATCTTTTAACTTCCTGAAAAAGTATCTCTTAGGAAAAGCGATTTCTATTTTATGCCATAAAAGTTTTCTCTTTTTGGACAACAGAAAAGTAAAGAGCTAAAGTAAAATAAAATTCCAAGATGACAATACTATTTCCAATATTTGGAACATCCATTTAGACCTTTTTTATACTTTGACCTCTGCAATTCCAATTGCTCTTAAGAGAATTCAACTATTGAGTTTTCCTCATCTGAAAAAAAGCAATTATATTGAAATAAAAAAGGATTTTTAAGTTACCTATGGCAATATTCTGTTCATTATTTTAATGAAGATGCAATTTTCCTGTTCATTGAAAGAAAGATCTTCCCACAATTCAAAAGGTTGCTTTGAGCTAACAGAATCGCCGTACTAGAAAAATCCATAGCTTGGGTATCTTTTGGGATCAGAATGGAAGTATTCTTGGACTGAATCACCTCCCATTCTGCCAATGTACTTCTCATTGGTAGCAAAGCTACAGGAATTAATGGAAAGAGGTAACATAAACCAGGGCTTTTCAACCTTTGCACCCATTGTACCACTTTTAGGATATGGCAACATCCGAGTACCACCAGTCGCCTAGCAAGGTGTCAAAAACTTGATGACAAAAAAAAGGAAAAAAGTGATAAAGTACAGGTAGTCCTCAACTTACAACAGTTCGCTTAATGACTGTTCGAAGTTACAATGGCACTGGAAAAAGTGCCCCCCAAGCCACAGCCGAACAAGACACCTGCCTGCCCACCCGGCGGCACTCTTCCTCCTATCCGAGGTTTTCATTGTTGTGAGCATTTCTGTTGGGGATTGGCAGCGGAGGTGGGGTGGGGGGGGTGTTTGGTTTTTACTCCCCCCATCTGCTGAGTGGTTGCAGCAGGTTTTGGTCACTTCACCTGACCCTGGGACACTGTGACCATCATAAATATGAATCAGTTGCCAAGCATCTGAATGTAAATCACAAGACCCTGGAGATGCTGCAACATTCCAGCTGATTGGCGCTTCTTCTGGGCTCAGCAGAAGCACCAGGATCAGCGCCGAGCTCCAACTGGAGCCTAGTGCTGATCCTGGCGCTTCCGCTGAGCCCTGACAGCCCTGCAGCTCCAGCCATCTCTCACTCAGGCTTGTGTGGTGCTGCCACTGGTTCAGCTCATTCCCCTCCCCCACTACCACTTTTCTAGGATGGTTGCATACCACCTGCCAGGTACCAATGTACCACAGGTGGTACACGTACCACTGGTTGAAAAGCCCTGACATAAACCACTGGGGGAAAATAAGGGAGGAATATTCTTAGAAGGTCACTCTTCACACTTCTTGTGGAGTTTGGTATATCATAGAAGGAAGCAGTTTTCCCCAATTCCAATTCTTCATACCCACGTAAGACTGAAGCGCAAATAGGCTTGCCAGATTATATTAATATTTTTAAAATATAATATTTCTAAATAGCATGATACTGAAGTTCAATTTCACCATTGTATTTTAAATATATTTTATAGATTAAAAAAAGTTTTATCTTCTGAAGGAAAGTTTCAGTACTGGCCACATTATTTGTCACTTACAGCATGTTTCTGCCAACACTCTCTCAGAACAGGCCTCTTCTTTTTATGTACTACAACCTCCTGCATATCTTCAAGAGAAGGATGCTGACCCACTTCTTCCTCAAAAGGTAACATATACTCATCCACGGGTCCTGCGTTGAAAGAAATAATGTTACATAAATTCTGTTAATTTCTAGTATCATGCTAATCAGATTAAGAGACTAGAATGAAAGGTGGTAACTGGTTTATGACTGTCCAACTAGATTATATTGAACAAGGGTCAGATATTGGGACACATCTAGCATATTTGATTTGTTTTCCTGTAAGTCAGGTCGCTACTTGAATAGCTGCAATTACAGGTAAAGTTTTGTGTGTTTCATGTTTTGTGTGATTCACATCTAGATGACAAACTTAAAGGATACTGTAATCATTGCAAGTGACCAGAGACAACTCATCTTCTAAAAGTTGCGTTTTCTCTGGGCATAAAATGCCGTCTCTAAAACTGAATGAACCTGGAAGGCTGCGCGTATATAATTACCCAGCATAGTTCTGGTAAGGGATATTTTGGAGAAAGTCCAAAGTGAAAAACATATCGTATGGAGAGCTAGTAAAGCAGTATACACTGAACTAATTAGGACACTGCATCTCAACTATCTGAGGAGATAGCTGAATTCCCTGCTCCAATTCAAGAAAATGAACCATCATTCCAATCTATACATTGGAAGAGCTAATGCCTTACAAAGAAGAGCTAAATGCTTAATTTTGGTGACAGTACTGAAGAAATCAAATAAACAGAGGCATCAGTAGCAATTTCTTTAGTATAAAAAAGAGCAAATTACTCAGAAGGGCCATCCATAACAAGCGTCGGGGCATGCTGACTTCTGGTGTGGTGTTGGTTCATGGTAATGCTCGCTCGCACACCGCTAGACGCAACCAAGAACTTTTGAGGCAGTTCCGTTGGGATGTTTTTGATCAACCCCTCCCATGGTCCAGATTTGTCGCTGAGCGGCTACTACTAAGGAATTTCAAACCTTGTAAGATGTTATAAGTGACTCAATTTGAGTGGCGATTATGTCAAAAAGTAATGTAATGTTGTAGTTTTCTAATGTACATAATAAAAATTCTGTATCTGCGAGTGTCTGTCATTGATAACCAGAGGTTTATTTCTGAATTGCCCTCATATATTCCATTAGGAGGTGAAGTGCAATGGTTCATGAGAGGCAATCTCTAAGCAAGAGGACCTGCCTTAGAGTAGAGATAATGAAAACCATAGAAATAACTTAGCAATATGTAGAGTCCTTGGTGCTCTTTTGGTTTGGTTGTTTGCTTGCAGACATTTCATTATCCAAGTAAGAATATCATCAATGTAAGTGGGGGGAGGGGGGGTTGTTGCCCATTTATAAACAGTAGCTTGCTCTGCTAGTTTTGCTGGGGCATGGTATTCCCCTTGCTAGTTCATTAATGGGAGATTGTTTTCTGACTGATAGTTTGCCTGGTAATCCCTACTTATCTGGATATTAACTACTGGAAAGGATATGTTTTAGTCTTTTTGTTTCCTTCTTAGATTTTTTGTTGTCTCTTTTGAATGGTGTGTAAATATGGTTTATCATTATGTGTCTACTGGTGACTGAGCTATCTGAATGCCAAGCTTTCAGAAACTGCCAAGTATTTATGGATTTGGCTTGGTCTAAGATGCTAACAGTTTCCCAGGTGAAACTGTGATTGAATATGTCTTCATGTTGTGAAATTAAAGATATTTCATTGAGTCTTCTGACTGCTAGTTGATATTCATGGATGTGCTCCACTACTCTTCTGCCTATCTGTCCTACGTAGTGGCTGTTACAGTCCTTACACTGCCACTGTCAACTGCTTACCATCGGATGCCGTACATCGTGATGCCAATTCCCACAGAACTAATCCCATCGCATACATGTCTATTCTCAAAAATGCATCCCGCTGGAAGTTTATAGCACCTTCTAACACTTCAGGAGCCATGTATCTTCGGGTACCAACCTTGAAAATAAGAATAATCATTAGGTTTACAGATATGAACATTCAGAAGTTTAAACTAATTAGATGCTCACCATATATTCTAGAGAAATAAGTAACAGCTGTCAAAATCACTTGGTACTTAGAACTTGAGAGTCCTATAATTTATTTTGGAATAGCTTACCATCAAATCCAAAAATACACTGAGAAAATATTTCTTAAAGAAGTAGGTAGCCTTTGGAACATTACCTATTAAAAAAACATTAAAAAACTCTTTATACAATAATTTCAATAGCTTTCATTATTTTGAAATGACCAAGGAACTAAAAAGAATGAAAATTATTAGCAACAACTCAAATTTGACATAGAGATGTGCTTTCAATGACTGAAGTTAGCATTCACTGTCTATGAATCACATTGCAAAATAAATACAAAACACAAACTCTCATGACAAGTTTCATACTCAGTAATATTTTTGCTTCTTGTCCTACAGTTCTGTAATTTAAAATGTTTATAATACCCTGTATAATAATATGCACCTCATAGTCCTTGAAGTAATGGGATCCTCATCTGCACATAAGCACATTTTCAAAACTTTGAATGCTCATTAGAATTTGCCACTCTTATCATTAAGTAACAGAGGGGCAGGTCCAAGTCCACCTTCCTGAATAGTTTCTGAATTGCAGGATAATGAGATTTCTTCTTTACTGCATCGTCCTTAACTGATATTTTACCTCAGATTTTAGTTTGCTTGATTTCAGTCACTTTAAAATGTAAGTTCTGAGATTTGATAAATGGACTGAAAGCATGTCAATGTTGCCCTTCACTCAATATGCATTAATTAATTTTGAATAAGTGCAACTACTTGTATATATAGTGATCTCAATATTGACTGGGAATGGGAGAAGCTCACAAGATGAATGGGGTTGTCACTCTCCCTCAATCTCATCTATGTTACCTCACAGGATACTTCAGTAAAAATTAGAGTGTTTTATATTTGTCACTTTGAGATCTCGAATGAATATTAATCTAACAAATAGTAATAACTGATGTCTGTGTCAAATCAGCCCAGCCTGTATGCTACTGGAATACAGTAGCTTCCACTGTCCTACCCAGTGCTAACAATTCCTTGAGTGTATTTATGGACTATCAAATTTGTTTTCTTGTCTTCATCTCCCTCAATTGCCACATCATTTCAAGTATGTTGATCTTCTGGCCTGAAGGATCCAAAGCACTAAATAATTTTCAGGGTTCTTCTGAACCTATTTGTCTGTAATATGCTCCATATTCAAATCTGCCTAATTATACTCACCTCCTTTCAGTATATTTTCTATGCATATGGTTGGTAGGAGTCAATGGCATATAATCAATCAATCAAAACCTTTCAGTAGGTATACATTGTACACCTACTGGGGGTTTTCTGTACAGTATTTTCTTTTGTTCTTGCATCTCACAATCAGCCCTCCCAAAACTGTTCAAGGAAAGGTGAACAAATCCGCACTACTGAATATCATCCAGCTGCATACTGTACATAATAGAGTATGTGTCTATCCATACCTGTGCATACACAGACACATACAAATTAATAAGCAGTAAAACAGATTATCTTTAATCAGGAATCACATTTCTACTATCCATACTGGATACTCTGTGCCCTTTAAGGACTCATATTATTATCATAATTTCTTCATTTATTAGATTGATTAAATATATCTTATCCTAGAATATTCTGGGTTTACTAAATTTTTTCTCAAGACTCAGGTGGAAACTTTCAACATTTTATTTGCTAGGTGCCTGTTGCCACAACATTTTTAATCAATCAATTCCAGTTTTTATTTATCAGCTTACTCATTAATTATCATTTTCTTTGTTCAACTTATCCATAGGTAGCATGGACTCTCCCTATGAGCTTGCATGATTTTAGATACTACAGGGGGAATATAAATAATTTCATGGCTGATATCTCATAGAACTTTTAGCTGATATATTCACACATGTTGAAGTGACCAACCTGTTACTTTTTCAAATATGAAACTACATAAAGACAAAATTGTAGCTTTTGAAATGATCTATAGTATCTATAGTTATAATACATATAATTATAGTATTAGACAAGTGAATGTTAAATTTTCTGTTTGATTTTATTATGCTCAGGATCTGTGCCAGAGTAGGGGCTGCTGAAGATTTAAATTTTTGAAATGCTAATTTGTGCTGGTACAGATCTAGTGTATATAACTTCAAATATCATATGATTAATTATAGAAAAAAATTCCCTTCATGATGATGAAGTAGCCATTTTACAAAAGTGCTTTTGGGATTTTACTGGCAAGGAAAACATGGCAACATAATAAAATAAGATATCTTAATTTTTATTTAGTTTAAACTTACCTGACCATGGGTATCACCAGCTGACTTCCCAGCCTCAAATTTTAAAGCAAGTCCAAAATCTGCGATACATGCCGTAAGATTATTTTTCAATAACACATTCTTGCTCTTGATGTCCCTTAAAAAAAAGGAAGTACAAAATTGAAAACTGCCATATTTAAAAGGGATCAGAATAATATTGGACGTGTTTAACTGACAGTATAATTTATTATTTGATTATAGCTGCAGAGGTGAAGTAATTTTGCTTGGTGACTGGGCATAGCAACTATTTATAATTAAAACAATGACCATTACTATTCACACAGATATACAACACAATCAGAGTGCTTAGCTAATGGAGGAAAAGAGGTAAACGACTGACTAAAAAGATTTACCTAATTAGATAGGTCATTTGAACCTCTAATGTTGCCTCTTATAAAATAACAATAGAATGCAAAATACCTTTCTTCACAATGCTCTGTGGAGAAGGAAATATGAGTAGAAAAGTGATTTTGAGGTTGCTGCTGCATCAGACAAAATCATCATTGCTCTCTTCCTGACGTGAATGAAATAACATAATTTTTGCAGGAGGATGTAGAATGGTGGAGTCCCTTGCAAAACCCAAGCTTTCAGATAAAACCAATTTGTTGCCTCTCCACAGTATAACAATAAAAGAGGGGTACATTCTTTCCCAAAGCCACACAATGTACAGGAAAGAATTGTCACTGCTGGGAAAGTCAATGTCAAAGGACAGTGACTGCTTTTTATGTCACATAGATAAAACAAGTGCGCTACTGAAGTTCCGTATATAAACCAACAAGTAAATCTGTACTTGTGTTCACTTCATGCCACTGTATAAAGCAGTGTTTCTCAACCTTGACAATTTTAAGGCATGTGGACTTCAACTCCCAGAATTCCACAGCCAGCATTGCTGTGGAATTCTGGGAGTTGAAGTCCACATGCCTTAAAATTGTCAAGGTTGAGAAACACTGGTATAAAGCAACGTTTTATTTGATCTACTGTAGGTAAAGGGAGGGAGAATAAAAATTAAGTAGTATAGCAGATGCATTTCAAACAGAGATTGAGTTATTGGTTTTGTTTCATACTGCAGAAATTGAGAAGAGGACAAAAAATTGTGAAAGATTGTAACAAATAGAGAATAAGTGCCTTTGTGAATGACATCTGAATAGGAATCAATCAAAATTGGTATTGGTTTCTAATGTGTCATTGCATTATTTCTATAATCAAAACTGTATTACAAATTAATTTTGCATTCTAATCACTGATGACTTGTTCTTACTTCTACAAATTGGGTTGCATCCACATTTCAATATAGCAGAGCTGTGGTTTTGATAAGACTGCTCTCAACCAGTCTTGCAAGCACCTAAAAGGCTGCCCTGGAGGATTGGAAAAGACTCCAAAAGAGTATGAGATCCCTGGGAAAGCAATTAAAATCAGAGCTATAGCTTTTTTCCCTTAAGAGTCCAGCTTTCTCTGTTCCTTGTCATACAACTGGCCTGGGATACATTATAATGGCTCATCAAGGAGCCATTATACACTTTTTAAACCTCTTATTACAATTAAGTATTGTAACTCTGAAGTGTATGTTACCTTTAAAGATCAGATGGTAAATTGGATGGATGGATAGATAGATAGAAAGATAGACAGGCAGGCAGATAGGGGGTGAGGGTGATGCGGGGGTACCTGTGGGATATAGCTGGTTTATGCCCTTCTTTTAGACCAGGAATGTCTTCATGGAGATAGGCCAAACCTCTTGCCATAGTTTCAGCTATATGACAGAGTTCATTCCATGAAACTATATTAGCCTTCAGGAAGTCAGTAAGTGAACCCTAAACAATAAATAATATATTTTTTAAAACAATTACAATTTACTCTCCTTAAAAACTTCAAAAACTCCCAGGAAATTTAAATATATTTATATAATACATTTTCTAGGTCGTACAAGACTTCTGTATTTACTACATATAGTGTCAAAAGAGTGTCATAGGAATATTTAGGATGCATGGACAAAATAGAACTTTGGTCTTGGCATGATCCTGTTTCTACAACTTGCTATAACAGGCTTCTTTCAATGTGCTTTTTGTATCTTGCTCAATATCATTTGCAGGCAGTTTAGGTTTTGCATCCTCAAACAAGGAATTCTGTTCCCCAACTATCACCAGAGCCACATATCCTTGCATATGTTTAAAAAGGATATAAAGATCTACTTATTCAATAAATGCAATTGACTTATGGAAATGTTGTGAGCAAATGCAGAGAATGAACGTAGGGCTGATCCACTTTACATCACATCAATAAAATTACATGTGTAAATTTAGGCTTTTATAATTTTATTATTTTCATTATTATAGTAAATATGTTCTTTCTTTGTAAATGTTAACTCTGTTTAATTCTTACTTGTTAATTTTCATTTTGACTGGATTGTATCTCGGGGGGGGGGAAACATTTCCCCCCAATATTATAAATATATGATCACATATTGTGTATAATAATTGTGATTTAAGTGAACTAGATTACAAAACTGTAAAAATTTCCAATTGTGATATACACAATTATCCTGTGCCTATCCTAGACTAAATTTCCTACTTATTACATTATGAAAAATTTTGTGTAGGAATTTGCTTCTCTAGCCACTGACATATTTAACCAAAATTTTAGAACTAGGAATATACATTGGTACACAGCCTAAATAGAGAAAACACACACTTGGAAAGAATATCCCATTTGCTATTCTAGAATCTAGAATATCCAAAATTTATTGAAATCTTTTTGCAATCTGAGCTTGGAGGAGAAGAATGAAAATACAGGAATAGGTTTCACATAACTCCAATATCAATTAAAAAAGAATTCAAAGTAACATTATCATTACCCAGGTAGAAATAATTCAGTGGGCATCCTTTTAAACAATGATTGAGGACTTTGGGACTACAGTTATCTAGTGCTGTGCTATCATAAGAGACAATGGCAATTATTTCTGTCTCTTGATTTACCTCCCTCCCCCCAAAAGAAAGTTTTACAGGTGGACTTGGAAGAGGAAGGCCTCTGGGAGCCAAATCACTCCCACCCCCACTCTGAAAAATGGTCTGAAATCACTCTTTTGTGTTGAATTCTTCCCCTTTAAAATTTAACATTGATCTTAAAAATGACTCTACTAAAGTTCACAAGCTTAAACATTTGCCTCAAAATTTGCTTGGAAAATATATCTGTACACAATGAAAACTTCTAACCATTATCACATGAGCTATCACAATTAAGACCATCACCTTTTCATGAAACGCTGTTATTAGCCACAAATCAACATCAATACTAGTGCCTCGTTTTTCAGCACCAATGAACTGTAATATATTTTCATGCTTCATTCCTGGCAAGCTATATATTTCATATTCATTTTGCCATGATTCTTTATCCTGGAACAAAAAGAACCAGATTAATAAATTTTAAAAAATAATAAATATCTATATATTCAAAAATATTTCAAATAACAAAATCATATCTGATATGCTATGCCTGAAATTTGCCCAAATGTATGGGGTGATGGGCAAAAAAAAAAAAGATGGGGAATACACGTGTCTTGGTTTAGTTTGACAAATTCACATTAAGAGAGAACTCTTGCTTCTAGCAATTTCTAAACTGTACACAAATCTTTAGAAATTTTGTCAAACAGATTATTAAATTGAGGCTAGATAGGTTTAGATAAATCTCTTAGATCAACAATTAATAATATTTGCCAAGCAAGTTCTCTGGAGTTCTCTGGCCTAAAGATAAAGATTTTTTTCTGGTTTGCTTCTTCAGATAAATATAGACAATGAAGTGAGGTTAACAATTCAATGAAGTTCATTAGACAGTAAGACAGAATTAAATCAGCAGTTTTCTTCTTCTTTATCTGGTTATTTTCCCCCAGGTTCTAGAATGTTTTTTAGGCTGCTGGTAAATAGTTGGTATATAATTCATAAACATAAATTACAGTGTGTTTAAATAAGGATTATAATTATTTAGTTCTGCATTGTATTGTGTTTACTAATAAGAACATTTATATGGTCGCCCAACTCACAGTTACTCTGGATGGCTGACAGGAATAAAACCCCAAGTACAAAACATAATAAAACCCTCTGGTGACAATCCCCTTTTACATATATAAATATAAAGTTTTTAATTTAATTTTTATTTTACATATATAAATATAAAGTTTTTAATTTAATTTTTATTTTTATTTTTTAAGCCTATATTCTGCTCTGGGAAGCTCAGGGGGGGGGGAAGGGAGGGTTTTTTTTTTTTGTGAGGGTTGGGGGATGGGGTTTTTTTTTTTTAATATATGTATTGTTTAGTTTTATTTTTCTGTATATGTTGTCTCTTGTTTTGTATTATTTTTCCTTTTTTGTAAAATTTATAAAACTTTTAATTAAAAAAAAAAAAAAACCCTCTGGTGACAGCATTCAAACAAGCCATATTAATCTAGGATCCCCAGGCTAACTGGAAAACCTTATCTGAAGAGCCTTTTGGAATTATATATAACAGAACTGAGAACAAAGTAAAAAACTCGGTTAGACTAGCAGACATTAAGATTGAAATAACAGCAAAAATATACTATTCCTTCATTCAAAGTTTGTAGCATTAATTGAATGACTTCTGATGAATAAATCAAAGATATTTTGCACAGGAAAGAGATCTCCAAAATCAAATTGGTGATTTGATAGCACCATTAACTTAGAAATAAATAACATTAAACCAATGACCACAGAGAAGATCATTGGCTTGTATTATTTTAATATAGAATGATATTATATGAAGGCTTTTTTTTTTGCTGCTATACTGATTGAGGCATATTAAGCAAGCTTTTTCCTTCCTGTTTTCAAAAGGCTTATGTAACAGTTATACTGAAATAGGTAAGCTATCACTATGTTTTTCTCACTCCAAAAATTCTATGTTAAATATTGATACAAAAAAACTGACAACTTTAGACCTGAGGCTGAAAGTTATACTATTTTAATAATTCATACTGATTTTTCAAAAGAGTGTCGAGGTTTGGATAAGATTCGTATGTGCATTGTATTTTAGAAACACAGTAAAATAAACCTGAACTGGCAGCAGTCTCTCTACAGGATATAGAAAAAGCTTTTTATTATGGTATGGTGCAGGTTAAATTTCTGGAATGTAGCTTATAGATAATCCCCATTTAGCGATTAGGACTATTACTAAGTGAAGCGGTTGCTAAATGGGAAAGCACACGATTAGGACCAGTAATACCACTAAGTGAAGCGGTTGCTAAATGGGAAAGCACATGACCATGACTGTGCTTTCTGGCTAGAGAGAGACAAGTAACTACTTGGTTTTATACCCTTGGCTTCCTTTTGCCTCCTAACCTCTCTCCTGCCCTCTGGAATGCTCAATGCTTGTTTACTGTCTTATACATATTAAAAGCAATGTGATCATATAGCAACCTGAGGCTGGGACTCACAGAAGTAAACAGGTTGCTCTACTGAAATCCCTTTGTCTCCAATCCCCCTGTTCTGCAAGGAGGGGGGGGGGTGTTGAAGAAAAAAGTGAGCAATTTCTGTAGGCAATCTCTCTTTTGCCTGACCCTTTCCTGCTGCTGGTGCCATAATATTGCTTTGGAGATGTGGTACAGGTACCACCTGTGGTACATTGGCACCTGGCAGGTGGTACATGACCATCCTAGAAAAGTGATAGCGGGGAGGGGAATGAGCTGAACTAGTGGCAGCACTGCACAAGCCTGACCGAGAGGCGGCTGGAGCTGCAGGGCTGTCAGGGCTCAGCGGAAGCACCAGGATCAGCACCAGGCTCCAGCTGGAAAGCAGCACTGATCCTGGTGCTTCTGCTGAGCCCTGAAGAAGCACCAATCAGCTGGAATGTTGCAGCATCTCCAGATTCTTGTGATTTACATTCAGATGCTTGACAACTGATTCATATTTATGACGGTCACAGTGTCCCAGGGTCATGTCAAGTGACCAAAACCTGCTGCAACCACCCAGCAGACGGGGGGAATAAAAACCAAACACCCCCCCACCCCACCTCCATTGCCAATCCTCAACAGAAATGCTCACAACAATGAAAACCTCGGACAGGAGGAAGAGTGCGGCCGGGTGGGCAGGCAGGTGTCTTGCTCGGCTGTGGCTTGGGGGGCACTTTTTTCAGTGCCACTGTAACTTCGAACAGTCACTAAGTGAACTATTGTAAGTTGAGGACTACCTGTACTTTATCACTTTTTTCCTTTTGGGGGGGATCATCAAGTTTTTGACACCTTGCTAGGTGACTGGTGGTACTTGGATATTGACATATCCTAAAAGTGGTACAATGGGTGAAAAGGTTGAAAAGCCCTGATGTAGAAGAACAACAGCTTATTTACAATTCCTCTCTTCACAACCTCTCTGCTCCACAAGGGGAGAAAGAAAGGGGAAAAAAACAATCACAGGTCAGGCACAGGACAATGTGTACTGGCTGCAATGGCAATCATGAGACTCAGAAAGATTGCAAAAGTTGTAACTGGCTCATAAAAGTTATTTTTCAGCACCATTATAATTTCAAACAATCACTAAATAGAATAGTACGTGAGGACGATTTTTTATTGGTCTGAGTTTGTAAATAAATTATTTGATTTGAACATATTTTGAGAAAATAGGATTCCCTCTGATTTTTTTTAATCAGTATTTAAATCCCAAGCCTGTTATTACAGATGGAATTATTTCTTCATCCATCAGGATGTCTCACTGGATCATTATAAGATATCCTTTATTTCCTTTCACATTTTACTTGGTCTCAAAACCACTGGAGTGTTTTATTAAGCAATCATATGACATTTAGACATATTTTGAGATATCACCTGATTTTCTTTTTATAACAGTATTTTGTAAAAAAAAAACATTTTAAAAAATCTGTCTTTTATAGTACAATATTTTGTTGTTTGTATACATACCTGCACGGGGAATATTTTCACAGCAACGTATTCATTTAACAACTGAGCTTTCCAGACACAGCCAAACCTTCCTCTAGCTCTGATCTCTAGTAATTGCAATGGCTTTAGGCCCATCAATGGTGATGGAGGTGGTGGTCCAGGGTCCTAAAAATAATAACAGTCAACAAACGTTCATTTTTTTTAGTATAATCTCATTCACCAATTTGAAGACAACAATTTAGGAAGCAAATTACATCAACAAATCTTACAAGAATGCAAACAAAAGTGTTAATGTTTCACAATTTTTTTATTAATTTTCAACTTTTTCTCAGCAAAAATGAGTAAATCTAACACTTAAATTTATATGATTCCAAACAAACGCATGCAAACAAAATATGGAAGGAATAAAATTTCTTTAAACTGATCCAATATCTTTAGTATCTACATATGGTCAATAAAAAACAGTTTCTGCAACATATTTCTACTAAAATTTTATGAAAAATACCTAAATGAAGAAATTGTAAAAAGGGTTATTAAATGTTCTATTTTTAATGGAATTATAATTCTTGTATAGGAAATCTATATGCTTCATGCAGCCTGTGGTTATTTCCTGCTCATATACAGAATTCTTGAGGATCCAGTCCTACTTTATCAACCCAGTTACTGACCAAATATCACTTGAAAGATGGGGAAATCAATTTTTGTAGTTAAGAACTACTTATCTTTATTAGCATTTATTATAAGCATTATAAGAAAGGTTTAAAGTCATCTATTATGGCAATGCTGATTGGGACCTCAAAGATACTTATGTGTGGTTGTATTACCTGGTCCTCACTACTTATTCTACTTTCATCAATACTAAGTGACCTGTATGATGTAAAAAGAATCAATGTTTTGGTATACATGAAATGAACTATGATGAACTGGCCTCAGTTATAAGTTGCATGTGTCAGGGTATGATATAAACTGACTATACACTAATTAGATATAATTACAGAACGATATGTTTCCCTTTGTAACAAATAAATTATTCTAAAGATACATAGTTCTATATTTCTTGCTTGAAAATACAATGAGAAATCTTTCTTACCGAGAAATTTTATACATATGCTGTGGTGTAACAATAGATGGATTGGGAGAACAGATCAAAAGAAGTGGTAAATAGTTTTATAATGAAATGATAATAAAGTTTACAACAAAGGAATCACTTTTTAATCTATGTGGATCCGTCATGCAACATAATTAAAATATTACGAAGATTCATCTTTACCATACACAGGAAAGGGCTCAAAAAGTGTGTATTTTCATTAATTCTCAACCATAAGCAAGGGATAAGATTATATGTTGCTTCTCATATTCACTGGAAGAGTGCCACTTTTCTTTTCCTTTGCTTTTGTACAAGCTATCTAATCAAACTTTGCCTCCTTTTGTCTTTTTCTCCTAAGCATGCTACAGTATTGCTTATACAAGTAGCCCTTGATTAACAATGGTAATTGGGGCTGGAATTTCCATTGTTAAGTGAATATCATGGGTGTTTAGAAAGTCTCAGGCAACTAGGTAGCAAGCAAACTGGCAGGAATAGCACAGCAGGGCTGGCTCCTGCCAGGTTCATGGCTGGCTTGTGTGGCACAAGATGGCTACTGCCAGGCAACTTACAGCCTTCTGTACCAATTACCCTGGTGTCCCAGTCACTAAATGAAGCAGTTGCTATGTCAAACATCAAATTTTAACTCCAATTTTCTTTTGCTTTACATATCTGCAACGGTTATGTGAGGATTGGATACAAAGTTATTTTTTCATCATAGTTATAACTGAGAACGCTCACTAAATAGCTAAACAAGGATTATCTATAACAGTGGTGGCGAACCTATGGCATGGGTGCCAGAGGCGGCACTCGGAGCCCTCTTTGTGAGCACACGTGCCATTGCCCCAGCCTTGCCTCCCCCCACCACCCCCTCCTCTCCAGCAGCCCCCCTGAAGGAGACTCGCCCTTGAGTGTGGCCCACACGGAGCAGCGCAGCCAAGGACATGGCAGCCAGGCAGCGTAGACAAGACTCTGCTTTCACACCCTATCATGCAGTTGATGCTGCAGGGCATGGACAGAGGGTGTGGCCACCATAGCACTGCTGGGCTGCCAGGGCGATCTGCGGTGGGCCCTGGAGGTGGTGAGTAGTCCTGTGGGCAGGCGGGGCGGGGGATGGGGGGCAGAGCAGGGGCAGGCAGGGGGGTGGAGCGGGGCGGGGCCAGTTTTTGGGCACTCGGTCTCTAAAAGGTTCGCCATCACTGATCTATAATCTTGCATATGCCAACTTAATCCCACCATTCCAAAAAGTAATGTGAAATATTAGTAGAAAATATGTATTTAACAAAGCAACAGAGAAAATACTAAATGAACACTGCTTGATGAACTCCATGTACGTAGTGGGTCTTCACGATCTGGTTCCTAAAATGAACTCTACCATGTCTATCACTTCTGATTTTAAGGAAACTCTCAGAAATAAACTGATAGAGCATGCAGGTTTGCTATTAATATCCCCTGATATTCTCAGGTTCTTAAATATGCCTGAAGTAACTCTCTGAATCTTACAAATGCATTATATTTTGAGAAGGAGAATACTGATTTTGAAACACCATTCAAATTTCCAAAACAAAATGTAAAAAACATTTTCTCTTGCATATGCAGATTCTTCATCTTAGCAGATATCCCATGATGGCTATGAAGTTTTTTATGTCAATTTGTTTATATGAAATCCAGTATCATATGAATATCCTAGGCACTGTATAATGCAATATCACAATGTTTGCTATACTGCTATACTGACATGTTACACTGTAGAAAATTCAACAAATGAAGAATCCAATATTTTTGGATACAAATACACATGTTTTTCCAAATGTTACTCCTAAAGGTAATTTGTGACTCCACAAATGTATGACTACAAATAAAACAGTGCATCTTACCTCTATCATTATATGAAAGGCATGCTTGTAAAAAAAAAAGACACACACAGGCAAAAGGGAATTATTTCATATAATACAAAGCAGATATAAGTGCATTTTAGAAAAAGTGAGAGTTGTCAGTAACTAAAAGTTATAGATAAAATTCAGAATGCATTAAATTCTCAAATGTGTACTGCATTGATCCTCTTTATTGACAATAAAAGACAGCAATAATGTAATTGACTTATTTGACACATTAACATTTTGTTACCAAATCTCAACATAGTATTGAAGTTTTCAAAAACTGATCCATAAGTATGATGTAACTACCGTATATTCCGGCGTATAAGACGACTTTCTAAACACTTAAAATCTTCGCAAAAGTGGGGGGTCGTCTTATACGCCGGAAAAATATTACTCAGCAAGTTTTCTCTTCCCCCCCCCCTCTCTCTCACTCAAAAAGAGTCCTAGGGTTATTATTAAAACCAGCCGATCAACTAAAGATATCTCTGAGAGTACGATAGGCATTATCTGGCTGTTGTGACGGTAAGATTTCCTGGAGGTTTAATCCCCATTCTATAATGCTACATTGCAAACCGTCTCCTCTCTTCTTCCCTCCCTTTTGCATCCCAATTCCTTGCCCACCCCTCCAGAACTGCGGATTGGTAGTGGCCATCCCCTGATTAATTCATTCAAAGGAAGTAGAAAGGGATGGCCCATGTAATGGGGAAGGGGGGAAAAGAATTGTAGGGTGGTTTTTTTATATAATGAAAACAAACCTAAGCATCTGCGTCCATTCGAGGCACTTTTCAGTGCTTCTTCATGCAAGCTTTTCAGCGTTTACCTCTCACTGCCGGTGAGAGTAGCTTGGGGGAGGCGGAGCTTATGGGTCTGGAAGGGGAGGGGTGTCAGCTAAATTCCTCTCGGAGTTAAGAAGCAGGAATGGAGTGGGGACAGAAAACAGCTACACAATCCTTTTGCCCGAGCTTATGCAAGCAGTTTCTCCCCCCCCTGCCTAAATAAACTTGCATGGTGCATTTGTGGTGTTATTTATGACAGATCCTGGCTGGTCAATCTGGCTCCCATCTATAAGTACTGTAGTGCACTGAGTTTTAATAACAAATTAAAAGGAAAGCATTTACTCCCCCCCCCATTACCTGAAAAGGGGGCAACTTATCACATTTATGGAAATGCAAGTTTTCGAAGGGCGAATGCCTTTCTTACTTAGCTTATTAACTGCTTCCTTTCCTTCTTCCCTAAACATTCTGGCTGTCTCCAATTTCATTCTTGGTAGTGTTGCTTTAAAAAACTGCTGAGAAGTCCTTTTGCAGGCAGGGCAATTTTCATCAAGGTGTGTGTGCGATTGACAAGGCAGAGCCTTTGAAAACAGGCAGGCTTTCTGCTCACTCAGCTTGGAGAGGCTGTGGAGTATTCGCAGGGTGGAAGACTGAGAGGAGGAGATCCCTGTGTGCAGCCTGTTTGCTCCAAGCCAAAGCTTGCTACTGGGGGGAGGGCAATGGAAGGGACCCAGGGAGTCACACGCATGCCTACATGTGCACGCACACACCCTGAGCTACTCATTTGGACTTACAGGTGGCCAATGAGAACTCAGAAACTGTGCTCCCTTTCCCCCTCCCTCATGGAATTAGCTTGTCCATTTTTTCCCTAGGGCCTATACAGGAGTAGGCAACCTTGGCTCTTTTATGACTCATGGACTTCAACTCCCAGAATTCCTGAGCCAGCATAGCTGGCTCAGGAATTCTGGAAGTTGAAGTCCATGAGTCATAAAAGAGCCAAGGTTGCCTACCCCTGGCCTATAAGATGACAGGAAGGGTTGGGCAGGCAGGGAGAGCTGATCCACCCAATCCAAGCAGGCTTTGTATACAACAACCAGCTAAGGTTCATCGCTTGCTGTGATTGGCTGGTTGTTGTATACTGGGTACATACAGTACAGCACCAGTATCTGTACCAGTTCATACAGTACAGCACCAATACATACAGTACAGTATACAAATGTCCAATAGTCAAGACCCTATCATGGCTCCACCAGCAAGAAGAAGGAAATATGAAGCCAGTTTCAAACTTAAAGTTGTAAACTTTGCCATGGAACATAATAACTGCGCTGCTGCAAGACAATATGGAGTAACAGAAAAGATGGTTCGGGACTGGAAGGCAAATGAAAAAGCATTAAAGAGTATGCCAAGGGGTAAGTGTGCATTAAGAAGAGGCACCCCACATTGGCCAGAACTTGAAAAACATGTAGCAGACATGGTGAATGAGCATCGCCAAAACGGTTATGTAGTGACACGAAATAAAATACGTTTGTTTGCACTTCAGTGGGCCAAATCTAACCCAGATCACAGCAACAGATTTAAGGCCACTGCATCCTGGTGTACTAGATTCTTGGAAAGGCATAATATGGTACTGAGGCAAAAGACGAAAATTGCACAAAAATTACCTGCAGATCTTGATAGCAAAGTAATTAGTTTCCATCAATACATAATACAACAGCGCATTAAACATGGCTATGCATTAAGTAGTATTGGAAATATGGATGAAACTCCAATGAATTTTGATATGGTTGGAAATAAAACTGTCCATCAGAAAGGTGAAAAAACAATTTTAATTAAAACAACAGGACATGAGAAGTCCAGTTTTACAGTGGTACTAGCATGCACAGCTGATGGTGCCAAACTGAGACCAATGATTATTTTTAAAAGAAAAACAATGCCAAAACTCAAGTTCCCTGTTGGTTGTTTTGTACATGTGAATGAAAAAGGCTGGATGGATGAAGAAGGGGTAAAGCTATGGCTTGATAATGTATGGAGCAGGCGACCAGGTGGACTTATTCAAAAACGTAGTCTACTGGTGTGGGATATGTTCAGGGCTCATTTAACTCCCAGCACCAAGCAAAAGCTTGCAAGACTAAACACAGATGTGGCAGTTATTCCTGCAGGATTAACATCGTTAGTACAGCCACTGGATGTATGCCTAAACAAGCCATTTAAAGATCGCATTCGAGAACAGTGGAATGAATGGATGGTTAGTGGCGAAAAGTCATTCACAAAAGGAGGAAACATGCGTGCTCCACAATTGGATGTTTTGTGCAAGTTTGTCATAAAAGCCTGGAATGATATTGATGCAGAAACAATAATCAAGTCTTTCAAGAAGTGTGGCATATCAAATTCATTAGATGGTATGGAGGACGACTACTTGTGGCAAGATGAAGAGGAAGCCGAAGCTGAGACCACACCATCTGATACGGAATTCGATCCATACGATGACTGCCTTGCAAATGTATCACAAGATGTCATTGATATTTTTATGATATCAGATGATGAACAGGATGATTTTAAAGGCTTTTAAAGGGAAAGTATCATGCCAGCAAAACCTATAAAAATAGCTTGCAGTTATGATGGGCGTTGCTGACTCGCCAGGGACTTGCCCGGCACTTGCTCTCTCTATTGTTTGTTATCTTCCTCCTATCATCATCAGTTCCAGTTTGGTTGACAGCTTAGAAAACAAATAGCATGGCAGCTCCCATGGGTTTATTGTCTTATCCTTCCTTTCAGCTTTAGAGTGAATTAGGAAAAGTTTAATCACTTGCACTGTTTTATGTTTACATGTTTGATGACAAACAGCCTTATGTTTATAAGTGACAGTTTTCCTGCTAAGTACCTTTATGCCATAAGCATTTGAATTAAAATTACCATATTGAAATCAAATCTGATGTTTTTTAATTTTTATTTGGTGTGCGTTGAAAGAGGGGTAGTCTTATACGGCGAGTATAGCCCAAACTCTATATTTTAACTGGAAAAGTTGGGGGTCGTCTTATACGCCCAGTCGTCTTATACGCCGGAATATACGGTAGTTAGAAGATGCAGGGAAATGTAATTTAGTTAAGATATTGGTTATATTCTGTGCACAAAATATAAGTCGGTACATTACACAAGAGGGCAGTGTTGAATCATCTAACCTACAAACTACAAAGCATAACTATGAAACAAAAGGCAGGCAGACACTACCTTCATCCAAATCTTACTTCATTTAACCATTAAACTTGCTAAACATAGTTTACTTTTCAATATTTTTGGTAGCTAATTAATTTTAGAAATATCACTCTTCCTTCTTTTTGATCAGCTGCTTCCATTTGGAAATATCCGTATATAAATTAACATTTAACTAACATTTATTTTAACACTGATGAAACATCTCAATTTTTTTAATTTTTTAAAAGTGAAGGCATTATTAAAATATGCAAAATGTAAATTACTGATAAATTGAGGGAGATGTTTTATAAACTAATATAAAATCCACTAAAAACCAACTGCAAAAAGAAAACACGAGGAAAGGTTTCTATCATCAGCATTCATTCCAGTCTGTGATTCCACTCTCACAACCCAACCCTCTGAGTTCTAAGTGTACTTCTTTCCCAGATGAAAACTACTCAGGCAAGTAATTCTACTGCTGCCACCACTTTTTCTAGAACAGGGACCTTTCCCATTTATCAGGAATTGGGATGGGCTAAACAGAACATTTCCCTTCCCTTCCTCTAAAATAAATGGCTCCAGATTTTCCCTTTAAACCAACAAGGTAGTCATCAAGAAAGATTTTTTATTTTAATAAAAGCATGAAAGAAAAATTTAAATTGTTCTTTCTGCACAAGGCAGAGACTTGTGTTTAAAATTCACAGCAAGCAAAAATACAGACTCAAAGCAAGCAAAAATAAAGACAACTGGAACAGATACAAAATTATTTCCCAATCATGTGTGCCTCATTGAGCAAAAATTATGGGGATGGATTGGGAAAAATCATCGCTCATATGATAAACATTCCCTGTCAATCTGACTACTGTAGTTTCTATTCTTCCAAGATGCTAATAAATAACAAAGAAACTTCGGATATTCTCTTCTCTTGAATCTCCTCCTCCCAAATAAAAGAATATTTAAAGGTCCAACCAGACAGACAGCAGGTCACTCAGAATGAGGAGTTTCCTTAATCCTTTATGTTAATACTATGCAAAATCAGAAATCTTCAGCTTTATGAAGGTAGAGGAGGAAAAATATGCAAAATGAGAGAAAGAAATCCTGCTTTACTTCACATGTGCAAACATCTGGATTAAAATGTCAATTTTATTCTAATGATTCTTATTGGTAATTGGATCACAGAAATAACTGAAACAGTGTTGACCATATAATAAACTGTCCTGACAGCAAAGCCTGCTGAAATTCTTTCAGAAACAGAATTTAGCATACAAAGGCCTTTGAATCATAAGCGACCACATCTTTTTGCAGGTATGCCTGGCTGCTTTGAAAGCTGCTCCCATCAAGCTTTATTCACATATGCCTGCCAATTTGCAAAGTGAAATAGTTACACCAGGCTACATTGGGCAGGAGCAGTTTCTGATGCACTGGTTTTGATAATTTGAAGAGGAATTATCGTCCCCTTTCAAAGGCATTTCATAGCCTTATTGTACAGTAAAACACAAGGTAGTGCTTAGCAGCTCAGCATGTATGATCTCATTGAAAGTGAAAAGAAATTATTTCCAGTGCTTATCAACTTCTTGATGTCAGGAACATCTGACACAAAAATACACAAAAAATCAGCGAAGTAAAGGATTTGCATTTGTGGGAATATGGCTAATAAAATATGGTATTCAAAATATAGGTGTAAAATTAAATAGAAGCTGAGTAACTGTGCTAACTGCTCCAAATACAAACGGATGATCAAGAAGTACTGAATTCATCTAATTTGGCAATAAAAAAGTTATTAAGCACTGCAATAATTACACTTTTAATTTGGAAGATACTGCTTTTCAATGCATATCTTGCAAACTTCAGCATAACGGTACCATTTTCTGAGGAGCTAACCAGATACTGCTATGCAAATCCACCTGTTTTAAATTCTATATATACTTTCTAAATATTAATAATATATTAACCAATGCTACTTGTTTGTGAAGAGGACAATGATCATAACCAAATTAGTTCAAATACACCAAGTAAGCATGCAGAATTAAGGTTGACAATAAATGTGTAATAAAACTATATAATCTACTATAAAAATAATTCTTAAAACAGTTCTACCATGAAAATGTTTTTCTTATGTGGAGTTTGTTGGATAAAAGGATTCACAACATTAGAAATGTGTTTGTGGGAAGCTGCTTGGAGGAGAGATGGCAATTCATTTAACAAGTCTGAGAGTGGGATGATGATAGAAGAGTTAATGCCACAATTTAGAAAAATGAGGAAGTGCATATCTGACATCAAAATGGCAACTTAAAATAATATTGGGCAAGTAGAAGGAATCAGGATTTTTAAAGGGCATTTAAATAAACTGAAAATGTCTTAATCTAAACAATGTCATCCTCAGGTGAATTTATTTGAGACTTGATTTCACTAGACTGATATATCAGTTTTACTTTGCTTTTCCTTTTTTAAATTGTATTGATCTTTTATTACAAATTACTTTGGATATTCTTTCTAAAGATGATATAAATCTGTTTATAAATAATTCAAATTATACTGAATGAATCAGCTTTTTCAATTTCATAAAATGAGCCTTTGCTGATTTTTAAGGGATTTTTTTCAGCTACTGAAGGTGGCGCAGCAGTTAGAGTGCAGTACTGCAGGCCACTTTAGCTGACTGTTCAGCAGGTCAGCGGTTCAAATCTCACCGGCTCAAGATTGACTCAGCCTTCCATCCTTCCGAGGTAGGTAAAATGAGGACCCAGATTGTTGGGGGCAATGTAAATATACATATACATTGCTTACTGGTGTACACCGCTTAGAGAGTGCTTGCACTTAAAGCGGTATATAAGTTTCATAAATAAATAAATAAATAAATAAATAAATAAATAAATAAATAAATAAATACATACTGGTTGCTTATAGCATGAAGAAATGTCCTTACAATCAAACATATGTATCACTGACTGTATCTACTGGAAATATGTTGATAATCTGGTTTATACTCTATATCAGTGGTTCTCAACCTGTGGGTCGGGACCCCATTTGGGGTCGAACGACCATTTCACGGGGGTCGCCAAACAAGGCTGTCCGCCATTTTTTTCCCTTTTCCCTTGCTGTCCTACTCCCTCTTATTGGTGGCCACACCCACTTGGGGGTCACCACAACATGGGGAACTGTATTATGGGGTCACGGCATTAGAAAGGTTGAGAACCACTGCTCTATATTCATAGGTATATATTAGAAGTTCCATGTCTAGTCAGATCATGATTTTTTGCTCAAACTCTTTTAGATCGTACTCTGAATACACCGTGTTTTTACAAATACTCATGATTAATAGTACTAACAAAATGGTATTATCAAAATTACCATTATGGAATATACACAAACATTTACTTTTAAGCTGTGCCTTTTGCAAAATGTCTGATGTAGGATACTGACAATCTTTTGATGAATTGTGGAAGAGGGAAACTAATTTCTTCCTCTAGCTACAGACTCTTAGATCATATGCCAACAGTTTTCCAAAAATCTTAAAAAGTTCAAATAGCAACTGTCAAAAGTAACAAATCTATATTAATTCGAGAAAGCTAACAAAAAGATGGGATATAAATCTGACAAAGAAACAAATCTACTTCCATTCAAAATAATCCACTTACCTGGGTTGGTACAAGTACTGGAGGATATGCTAATTTGTGGTGTCTGTACATCCAAAATGAAAAGAGTACAATCACTGCTATTCCCATTATAGGTCCAAGAGAGTAAAGCAAGGTACTAAACAGAGGTGGTTTAGTTGTCACAGGATTCGAAGTAGCTGCAGGGGGAAAAAGTTTTTTTATAATTCAATATTAACACAGAAAATATAAGCAATTCTTAAAAACTGAGGAAATTTAAGTTATCTATACACTAAAAGTTATCTATGATGATACATCTGAAGCTTAAACGTTTAAATTTTAGATTTGTATTTAAGATCATATTATTTTGCCTATTGTTGTAGGAGAGGAGCACAATGAGCTGGAAGGCAGGGTTAACTATATCATCAGCTTGGAATCATTGTGCAGCCACAAGAGACTCAAATCCAGCTCCCTGGAATTCCATTGTCCCTTATCTAGCACCAATTTAGCTTTGACCTTTAGTTGACCAGATTCTTGTGTATATGTAGCAATAATAATCTCATCAGTGCTTTGGACTCAGTGAATGTTCTCACTTCTTTGCACCTGACAATTGTATTTACTGTAATTTAGTACTAGTCTTTCTTGGATGCAACCATATAGATCAGGAGTCCCCCAACCGCCGGGCCGTGGCCCACTACCAGGCCTTGGTTTATTTGGAATTGGGCCACGAGTGGCTGGCTGGAGCATGCGCACTGGCCCGCCACTCACGCAAGGGCTGCATGCGCACGCATATGTGCTGCCTCACCGCTTGCGCCTCACCGCTTGCTGCCTCACCGCTTGCTGCCTCACCGCAGCCCAATTCCTTTCTCCCCCCACCAAGCCACAAAGGTTGGGGACCACTGATACAGATTATTGTTGGGATAAAAGGGAAATATTATAAGGTCAAAATTCAGCAAGGCTTTTCCCAATCTAATCCAACTACAGGCAGTCCTTTTATTACAACCATTCATTTAATGACACTTTGGTGAGGGAATATGCATCTGGAGAAGCAATAGAGAGGAATCTTGGTGACACAGAGATTTCCCAGTGAGGAGGCAGTATATTCCGGAGAGAAGCCCAAATTAAGAGACTGCAAATTCCCAAACTACATGGCAGGGTGGGGGTGTAAGAACTTCAGAGCAGTCACACCTTAGAATCTCTCAGGATATATCTATTAGAGAAGAGAGATATAGCTTTAGTTTCACAAGATTCTGTACTTGGCAGTGTAAACAAATTATATATTGGACTTGATTGGATTTCGCTGTGTGGCCTTTCGGTTTGGGCCTGACAGATTCAAAATTATGACAAGCTCAGGAAACAGTGACTTATCATCCATCCCTGAAGACCCCTACACCACCTCTGCAGTCACATGATTGCTATTTGGGTGCTTGGCAACCAGCTCACATTTATGATGGTTGCAGTGTCTTGCAGTCATATGATCATGACCTCTGGCTTCCAACAAGCAAAGTCAATTGAAAAAGACAGAGTTACTGAACAATTGTGTCATTCGCTTAACAAATATGGGATTTGTTTAATGACGCTGGTGATTCCTTTAACAACTATGGTAAAAATAGTTCTGAAGTTGGGTGGAGTTACGTGATGCCTTAATTTATGATCAGATCAACCTTCAATGGAAATTCTGATACCAAATGTGATTGTAAGTCAAGGGCTACCCGTATTGTTTAGTATTATATTTAACCAAGGCTGCTGTGTCCAGAATCCTTCCTACATTTCCTCATTTACAATTATTATCATCCAATGAGGATAACAGAAAAATACATGTTATCTACAAGCAAGTTTAATATTTAATAGAGGTTTTAAATTCTAAACAAATGTCTCTGCAGGACTCTTTTTAGGAAAAGTTATATCACATACGTTGTGTGACCTCCATCTCTGGAAAGTAGAAAAAATGTTCATTGCACATGTTGCCCTCACAGCAGCAGAAAAACACTTCAGGGCTATCTTTCTTTTCTATACAGTCGGTCCTGTAAGAGATTAATATCAGTTAAATATTAAAATATTACAACTATATTAAAGAAAACACCCAACAAAATTGCTAGTAGTAAATTAATACAGAATCTGGAATCTACATTTGAATATCTGAGTAATTACCATTTTGTGCAAAAGTACATCAAACTTTCATTTGGCTTCCATAATGAAAGGGAACAATACAGAAGGTACTACATAAAAAGCAGCACAAATCACACACGTTGCATCAAAAGAATGATACCAGCAGACATCAAACTGCCTATTGCTTCCTATAAAGTGGTTGCTAATCATGCTAATTTGAGGCATCTCTTAAAATAACAGTACAAGTCTTCTACCCATCTAACATGTAAGCTTCTTGCTTTTTGCTTTGAGAAAAGGTCTGCAGGAAATTGACAGGGAAAAATTACTGATGTTTCAGCTCACTCCCAATTTAAATTATGAATTCCAACAGCATTTTAGCCTAAACTTAATACTGCATTAGCTGCAACCAGCAGTTCATGCAATTATGCAGAGACCATCTCACCAGTCAGACTGGTGGATCTGAAGAGTTTTCTCCACACCAGATTAGCTCAGCACTAGTCTGTTCCAATTTGATTACCAAATCAAAAGCAGGTTTGGAAAAATGGACCTTTACCCTATCTTTACTTATTATGGGGAGGGAACCCTGCTCATCCTCCAATGTAGTTTTGGCTATTATTTATCAACAAAGCCTCACAAAATATACATAAAAGTAACTAGCCAATTTCTACACAGAAGAATGAACAAACAAATCTGGTATTAAAATAAAAATATCTAAAAAGTAATGTGGCAGTATCCCCAAACAATGAAGGATTATTCTGTCACTTACCTTAAGGATTTGTTTGATATCTTAGTCTGCATAAATCTTGTGTAATAGTCTATGCTTATACACATCATGAAGTTTCTAGACTTTAGAAACAGATTACATTTTACAAAACAGGAAATATAAAAATAGTTGTGTTTGCTTGCCTGTCATAACAATTAATATCATCCAACCAGCAACCCTTTTTCACAATTTCAATAGATCCAGAAATATTCTTCCATGTTGCAAAGCAGTGTTTTCTTTTATCTTTGTCACCATAGCATAGTTCAATGCCACTACGATTTGTCTTATCATTTTCCCAATTAGCATTGTAGAAGATGCACTCCTGCGTCTCTGATCTGCCTAGTATGGCACCTGCAAGGAATTGGTTTTTAAGAATTAAATTCTGGATAACCTTGGAAAAATAATTAAATACTAAAAACAAAAGCTATATTTAAAAAGTCTTGTAATCTTTACTACATAAATATTATGTTTGCATTTCAAGTCTGGCATGCATTGCATTTTTTTTCCTTTGGGCAGAACAATAGTTGCTTTTATTTACTGTTTTTAATTTAGTAATGCAATTTTTTCGGATGTCAAAACTCATTGTTTTCTGGTACTCACAGCAAAGATAATAATAATCTCTCTCTTAAGAAACAAAGAAATACAATCCTATCTCTAAAAATTACTTGTCACTTGCCAATCTAGTGAAATCTCTTTCCCATAAAGGATGTTATTACTTTTTGATGGAAGAATATGATTTTATACAAAATATCACCTCCTAGTTTTCCTGTAAGATACTGAGACATTCTAATAATACCCCATGCCATCTAAAACAGAAAAGAAAATGTATGTTGTATTTCTTGTCCTCTGAAATTCTAGCATAAAATCAATAAACATCTATAAATGCAGGCATAAGCTTAAAATGGTTGGCAGCTCTTTAATACTGAATCTAAACTATGATATTATGTCCAATAATCTGTATTAAATCTTTCTATGTTTCTATCTTCTATCTGTCTTTACATTTTTCATTAAAGCGCATTTCTTTCAGATATTCCATTTAGGTTTCTAGCCATCAATTTTCTTTCATTTCAGGCAGGTAGGAAGGACAAACAGCCAATCTCTCCTATAACCTTTACATATGTATGGACAATGTCTTATAAATACTGATTGTCGAGTTATCTGAATTCATATTTTTATTTGAAAGTCATTTAAGCATGTTTGACTAGACTTCATATTTCTAACATAAAATGTCATTAGCACACTGTATTTCATACCCAGATAGAATTACTGCAGGCATACTGTTATTATGCTAGACTAGAGAAAAGAAGAGAAGGAATAGTCAAGAGGAAGAAGCAAAGACAGGACACAAATTAAACAGGTGCAAGTGATTCATTTTCTATTTAATAAAACCCACAAAATGCAGTAGTAGATGTGCTGCAAATAGGAATAATGCAATTTTATTGGCATAACCTAATTAAGTGATAACAATCTATATTTAGGTTACTATAAGAGCAAAAGTTCTAATTTCAAATCCTAAATGTATTTTTTTTTAAAAAAAATATTACAGTCCTTATATATGAAGACTCAAATACTTTTAAATTTTTTTGCAATTAAGGAAAAGTACTTTATAAACTGAATTTCTGAAAACTTGCACAGATTTCAGTGGAACTTAGTCATATCAAGAGTCATTTCCACTTTTTGGTTTGGTATGGACTTTAAACAACTAATAGTCTCCAATTTTTTTTTAAATTTTTAGCATAACCCTTCCCAAAATAAACCAAAAGTGGAAAAATAGACTAACATGGGCTGTGGATTTGTATTATTTATTGGATTTGAGGTACTCAATTCCATATGGCTTAATAATTTTTAAATAGATTTTTTTTTTTAAAAAAGGAACATGCTCAACCAGGCAAAAACATAAAAATAAGAAATTAGAAATGTATGACATTTAAGCACACTTGTAAATCCATGAATATACACAGGTTCTTCTCTCTTTTCCAACAGAAAGAGCAAACAAAATATGGCAATGTAACAATTAAACAATTACTAATTAAACAGGGAACAAAAGATAGGAATAAAAATTTGTGTCAGTGACAAGATTTCTCAACAGTATTAGTCCTACACTATCTTGTAGTGTGTCCAGAAACAATGGAAGCCAATATAGTTCATGCAAAACCAATGTTATATTATTTCTACAGGTTATTATATTATTTCAACTTACAACAGTTTATTTAGTGATCATTTGAAGTTACAATGGCTCTGAAAAAGTGACTTATGACCATTTTTCACACTTATGACTGTTGCAGCAACCCCATGGTCATGTGATCAAAATCAGACGCCTGGATATTTATGACAGTTGCCGTATCCTGGGGTCATGTGATCACCTTTGCGACCTTCTGACAAGCAAAATCAATAGGGAAACCAGATTTACTTTGTTGTTGTTGTTGTTAATTGCGAAGTCGTGTCCGACCCATCGCGACCCCATGGACAACGTTCCTCCAGGTCTTCCTGTCCTCTACCATCTTCTGGAGTCCATTTAAATTCACACCTACTGCTTCAGTGACTCCATCCAGCCATCTCATTCTCTGTCGTCCCTTTCTTCTATTGCCCTCAATCTTTCCCAGCATTAGGCCCTTTTCCAGTGAGTCCTTCCTTCTCATTAGGTGGCCAAAGTACTTGAGATTTACTTAATAACCATGTTACTAACTTAACAACTGCAGGGATTCACTTAAAAACTGTGGCAAGAAAGGTCGTAAAATGGGGCAAAACTCACTTAACAACAGAAATGTTGGCCTCAATTGTGGTCATAAGTCAAGAATTACCTATATTCTCTGTTATCTAATAGGACCTGCCACACTCTGTTTAGGTGCAATTCCCAAGTCATCTTTAAGGGCACCTTCATTTAGTATACCTTACAGCAATATATAAAGCAAGCTTCTACAACATGAACTACTGTAGCTAGATTATCCTTTAGTAATAACCACCCAGAAATTCAACTCTTTGCTATGCAGATATAGGTTGCCCTTGACTTATGACCAAAATTGGGACAGGAAAATTCATTGTTAAGCAAGGTGAATGTTAAGTGAGGCATCACACGACTGCACCAAATTGTATTGCCTTTTTGCCACAATCTTTAAGCGAGTTATCATGGTCATTAAGCGAGACATCATGTAATTACAATTTGTGATGGCTTCCCCTCATTGACTTTGGTTGTTGGAAGATGGCTGGAAAGGTTGCAAATTGTTATCACATGACTGCAAGATGGATGCGGTGTTTCTAAATGTGAGCTGTTGCTAAGTGCACAAATCATGATCAGATGACCATAGGTATAATGGGACAGCCAGAACTTTGAGGTCCTATATCACTTTTTTCAGCTAGGGCAACTCAGAACAAATGGTCATTATACATCTGTAGCATCACTCAAGACTATTAAAAATCTCTGCACGGATGTATCTAAATCCCATCTTTTTTTACTTTTGTATTTTATGAACACTATTCTCTCATCTATTTTCCATGAATCTTGCTTCATGTTTACCCACTACCTCGAGGGAAGGGGGAAATTGTTCTTTGTTTTGTCATTCCAAGGATGGAAATATAGATTAATGAAAAAAGCATAGATTTGTCATCATTTCAATTATATTTTAAAAACTGAAAGTGTAGTTTATTTTATAGAATTAAGAAAGCCCATATTTATTCCAGATCCTTGAAGAATGACATAATATATTTCAAATAAATTACTTTTAGTATAACAGATGAGTAGTTTTAAATTTCTTAACAGGTTATAGCCTAATGCCCTCTCCCACTTTCATCCCTAGCTAAAAACCTGTCAATTTGTTATTTTTAAATGCTTTTTAAGTGCCTTAATTATTCATGATTTTCTTCAATGTTTATATTTTATTGTTATAGATCATGTATACATACAAGTAAATTATATATGCAAATATTGATTTTCTGCCCCTGAGTTTTTTACTTTCAACTCTCAATTTCTTGTTACTTCTGTTTGCTTTTTTCCCAGAAAACCAGTTTTTTTATATGCATTTCCCCAAATAATAGTTATCTGCTTCATGGCCTTTTAAAATGTCTATTTCAAACAAAATGGATTTTATAAGCAGGCAAAATAATATAGCATGCTGAATTCTACTTCAAGAAAATTTAAATCATTTTCATAAATCATTTTGTTTAGCTCTTAGTTCCACTGTGCAAATATTGCATGACCAGCATGTAAATTAAATAAAACATTAAGTACATTTGAAAGAAAATTGGGGATTTACAAAAAGAAAGTCCTGCTACATTGGATAAAACCTAAAAGAGGTGTTGTCTTACCTGAACGTCTTTTCTCAGCATGATGATGGAGAATCCACGAATGGGTTTACTTCATCTTCCTGCCCAATAGACTAAGTCTGACAAAGTTGCCACGCCTCCTGCTGGGCTAGTACCACCCAGTTACAATGAAGGCGAAGCAACAGACGATAGTCTGATGTGTTGGCTCCTACTACCCAACACAGGACCCGATGGACACTGAAGGGGTGGATGTGGATTCTCCATCATCATGTTGAGAAAAGGTGTTCAGGTAAGACAACGCCCCTTCTCCAGCATTAGGATGGAGAATCCACGAATGGGACATACCAAAGCTGCCCTGTTCCTATGGGAGGGAAAACAGTCAGGGGCTGTGTCCCACTTGATAACAGTACTTGTTGTAGTACCCTCCGGCCAAATGAGGCGTCCGCGGAGGCAAACCTGTCTATGTTGTAGTGCCTCACGAATGGGGAAGGCAAAGACCAAGTCGCCGCCCTACAGATCTCTCCAATGGATGCCTGTGTTACCCAAGCTGCTGATGTGGTGGTGCTCCGGGTGGAATGAGTGGTGATACGGCTTGGAACGGATAAGGAGTGCGATTGGTATGCCCTTGCAATGCAAGCTTTGATCCACCTGCATGTAGTTGATGACGAAACCTTCTGCCCCATGGAAGAAGGTTGAAAGGAGATAAATAGTGCCTCTGACTTGCAAAAGGCAGAAGTCCACTTGATGTACTGGCATAGTGCCCTGAGTACGTCCAGAGCGTGCCACTGATGTTCTAAGCTATGAGACTGACGAGGGCAAAAGTCTGGCAGTATCACCTCCTGCGACCTGTGGAACAAGGTATTTACTTTGGGAACAAATGATGGATCCAATCGAAGGACCACCCTGTCATTGTGAAAAATACATAGGTCCTCTCTGACAGAGAGAGCTGCCAGTTCCGATATGCGTCTGGCTGACGTGATGGCTATTAGGAAGGCTACTTTCATGCTTAAGAGCCACAGTGTACAAGTCTTCATGGGCTCAAATGGCGGTGAGGTAAGGGCCTGTAAGACCTGCAACAGATCCCAAGAGGG